AAGAAGTTGGGAGTGGTGAGGTGAGACCAAACCACCACTACCCACCATTTGGTGTGATGGCAAGTTCCAGAACCCCCGCTGTGCATACATCCTGAGATAAGAGGTCTTCCCAGGGGGGGGCTTAACAGGAATCAGGGACCGACCCAAGGTGCGGGGGGACAACAGAAGACACTTGGGGGGCCATTAATCAACCAAGCAGGAAGAAGATAAACTTTAACACTACATACGTTGTTTTAAGTGTGCAAACAGATGTTCAGGAAAGAGACTGAGATCAATAGTACTCATAGCAAAGCGCAGTCCCTCAATAGCTGCAACACAGATACTTGAGATAACAGTTCCTCTTTTGATGTTGACATGTCCTCTGGAGGGGGTCATAAAAGTAGTGGGGGTGAGGGGGTACCAAAGGTGATTGTAATCACAGTAAGCAGGAAATACCTTCAACAGCATTCTACATTGTTTCTTTCAAATCCAGCTAACAAAGCGGAATCATATCTTAACAACACCTTTCGTGAACATCGACCACATAAATATGGAAGCGCGTCTCGTGGCTAGATTGCGGTTTCCTGCCTACAGCTGTGTTCCATCCAGAACATTAAGATAACTTCTAAGAAATGTTGAAACAGTTAAAGCATCTAGCGTCATGTTTTATGAGAACACGATATCAAGAACATCGGAACAGAAAAATGATTAAAAGGAATTAAAAGAAACCAAGGACATTCAAACCATCATACAGAAACAGAAAAGCTGATGCCCATAACAGGAAAAGATGATATCCATAAGGAGATACACCCCTCTTAGGATATATAAGACTTGTATAGGGACTCTGTTTTTTGCGCATTTGTGTCTTGACCACAATGCTTGCTTGTGTCACACTTGTGCCTTGAACGCTCAGTAAAGCCACTTGCAAGAACTTCTCCATTTCCAACCTCTGATTCCGCACCTCATCTCAGCCCGAATCAAATGAACACGCGGAGGACCTGGGGGAAGCGGAGGACGGTGAAAGGATCCCGCCGTGTCCACAGCAACACGCTCACTTCCCCCCGCCGCCACCTCCAACAATGGCTTCAATGTCAAGTGGGCCGGACCATTAAAATTATACCATACGCTGCTATAAATAACCAAAATATCATGTCTTTTCTTTGTTTTGGTAGAAAGAAGCACAAGAGCATTCAGAAAATGTTGAAATTGAATGAACACATCAACATTTGACAAAATGACTTGACTCTCTGTTTCAGTTGCCTGTCTAAATCTGCTGATCGGTCCGAAATCCTCTCTGGTATAGTATTCCTAGTCAGGCTAATATTGGCAAAAGCTTGTCTCTTCTCGGGATGAACAAATTCAGCCACCTTCAACATACATCGTTAAACAAAGTCACCGTCGGAATACGGCTTTGATGATAATGCTATTTCACTTGGAATTAGGTAACTGGCTTTTACTGCTGTGTTGGGTCTGTCTCAGTGACAGACTCAGACTGCTGTTGTCTTCTTCTCTGATGAAAACAATGTTGTCTTCTACTCTGATTTAAAACCGTGTTCCCCTCTAGCGGATGATCCACGAATTGCAGCGTATTAAAACTATTAATTCCGTGTCTTTTATGTATTTTTTTACTTTTAAATTATCCCACGGGCCTGACTGAACCTCCTTGGGGCCGGTTCCGGTCCGCGGGCCGTAGGTTTGACACCACTGGCTTAAACGTCTTTCCGGTATGCGCATGCGCCTTTTGGAGAGTGGGCGGAAGTCGCCGTTTCTCAGTCGTTCCCTCAAATGTCCACGCGGGTTTCGATTTCCGAGGAAAAGAAACTGGTTTTTCACTTTTTTTTTTACCCTTTTGGGTGGCGGTAGCTGGACACAAACTAAAGGGTCGCTCTTCCGGCGGTGAGTTGCAATTTAAGTGCTACCTTTTTGTGTAATTTCGGTTTGATAAACGTCTGCTACAAGCTAAGTTTGAAGTAAACAAGAAGCAGTTAGACGTTTCAACAATAGGACATTCTTGACGTGTATTTTAACCAAGCGGATACCGTCAGAGTTACAGAATAGATTATGTCATTAATATTCAAACTAACTAACGAACGAACGATGATTCCAATGTATATTATATTTTTTGGGTTTTAAACAGAGCAACAGGTCCGCTGTGATATTCGACACACGAGTTCATCGATCACATTTCCACACTTTTCCGTCTACTTTTCTGCTATGATGACAACCCGAACAATTGAAAACATTCACAGAACTTGTACGACGAGTAAACTCTGACAATAAAGCGCTTAAATTAATGACGTTTTTGGGGTGTTTTGAGATTCGTTCGTTTATCCAATGGACTTTCGACTCCGTCTTGAGTGTGTGTGATGAATCACCTGCGGCCCCTAATGAAAGTAAAAACGAAGTGTTAGTTCAAGTTTGATGAGTTTAATACAAGTGTTTGATATTTTCCATTTGTGAGTTATGACGGTCTGAGTCAAAACGGAAAGAAATGTCGTTAAACTATATTGGTACACTCCATCTTGATCATCAGTTTGCATTTAAATTGTATTATACATAACTGGTATTTATCGACGTCGTGGATTACACCGTCAGCACAATTCTGGATATGTGTGATATCCATGTAACCAATAGAAGGATAAGCATGTTTCATTCCAGTTGTGTTATTAGGATAATCGTTGGGCTGGAAAGACAACAGTGCATGATACACTTTAGAAACGAACTGTCATGGGAGAACCCGGCCTATCGTGTTGGAGTGGCCTTCATCACGACAAGTAAGAAGTTTAGGGACAAAAGGACAACAGAGACCTATGGCCAGACACTGACCAGGAGAGATGAAACCACAGTGAGTTGGTCGGATCTCTGCAAATTTCATCCCATCCCTGAGCTTTTATTGAAAGTCACACGAATTGAAACAGCACAAGCAATACAAGAATCAATCTCAGATTACATGAACATGCATGGGAACTTCAACGCTTGTTCTATTCAAACATACTTGTTTACTCTGGCCATATCCGTGTCCCTCTGTCTCTGGCTTTAGGTGTATTTTAAACTGGGCGGCCAGGTTACCCTGACCTTATCGTGGGTGGCAGCCCTGGGATTGTAGTTAGTATGCTATTCTCTAAACCGGGCGTAGGGAACCTTTTCGACTAAGAGAGCCATGAAAGCAAAATATTTGGAAATGTATTTGAGTGAGTGAGAGTGCGAGAGAGAGATAGACAGAGAGATGCACATAGCATTAGTTATATGTATTCGATAATGCAAAAAAAGTGACAAGAGAAAGAGAAGCGTGGCCCTCTCTCAACACCTGTCCGCAGCTCATCCTGCTTTGCAACTCCATGTCTGAAGCACAGGAAAACAACAAACTTGCAGCCACTCTTGGAAGGATGTGTGATACAAGTTAACACAGTGAATTATAAAATATAAGTTGACACTGTTGAATATAAAATTTCCGCGACAATTATCCATGTGAAGTGATGGCGTGACACTGGGGGGGATGTTTGATCGAGTTGTATTGACGCGGCTAGGGCAATTGCATGAGAATCGACAAAATTGAAGAGCAGTGAGTGATTTGTCACATCAAATCACATTTTAATCCAACTTCATCAATGTAATGCCCAACATCACCCCCGTCCTTAAAAGCCTCGTCAGGCTTCCCGTTCCCCAGCGTATCCAGTTTAAACTCCTCCTCCTTACCTATAAAACCCTTCACAATCAGGCCCTCTCCTTACCTCTCCAACCTTCTTCACCCATACACTCCTCCCCGCAACCTCCGCTCCTCAAAGACAAACCTCCTCGCCATTCCCGCGACCAGGCTCAGAACCTGGGGGGGGACTGTAAAGTGTCTTTGAGTACAATGAAAAGCGCTTTTAAAATTAAATATATTATTGTTATTTATTATTAATGTAGTAGGCGGCCTGGTGGTCCAGTGGTTAGCACGTCGACCTCACAGTGCGGAGGTACCGGGTTCAATTCCAGCTCCGGCCTCCCTGTGTGGAGTTTGCATGTTCACCCCGGGCCTGCGTGGGTTTTCTCCGGGTACTCTGGTTTCCTCCCACATTCCAAAAACATGCATGGCAGGCTGACTGAACACTCCAAATTGTCCCTCTGTGTGAGTGTGAGCGCGGATTGTTGTTCGTCTCTGTGTGCCCTGCGATTGGCTGGCAACCAGGTCCGGGTGTCCCCCGCCTACTGCCCGAAGACGGCTGGAATAGGCTCCAGCACCCCCCGCGACCTTTGTGAGGGTAAGCGGATCGAAAAATGAATGAATGAATTTATGCAATAGAAATACGGATACAGTGATTGTGTGATTGCCATACCATGTACAATATATGAAGACGAAAGAGAAGCCATGTTGACATAGGATATACGTTGTCGTAATTTTTGTTTAATGAAAGCCTTGCATCAGGTCCCTGGGATTAACCTGCAACAAATCAGTTTTATTAGGCATTGCAAAATAAGAGCACTGGGATTCGGTAGTATGTAAATTTGTATTAAAAAATACAGCGTAAATGTATGCACACATCGTTCTTATCGGATCAGATCATATTCAACCCTTCGTTGTAGGCAGACTGTTTGATGCTCATCCATATGGCCATTCGTCAGATAACACACAGAAAAACAAGGCGGCCGTGACCGAGTTTGCAGGATTCTGACCTTCTAAAATGTTGTTTGGGAGTACGTGGGAGAAGCTTTGCTCTAAGTTGACAGGATGTGAACCAAGAACGATGAGAGCCTACATGCCAAGATGGCCGGCCGGCCGAGGTCAACCTCCATTCCCCTTGGGGGCAAGACTTAGTATCAGGAAATCTATCAATTGTGGAGACTGCATTTCAGTTGCGCTCATGTTCATGACGAAAAGCAGAATCAGGTCGTCTACACGTCATTTTGCACCAAGCTCTCCACAAACATGCAGTGTCATAAACCGGAGAGGGGGCGGCCATCTTCCGGATGCACCCCAGCCCTGTGTCGAACGGCGTTGTGGTGTCTGTTTTGTGGTAAAAAATATATAACTTAATATATCACAACGTAACGAGCGGGAGATGAGCATATGGTTGCCAGGCAAAGCAACAAACAAGGCGAACAGTGAACAAATCAGGAGAAAAATGCAGACAGATGATGCCTGTTAGCTGCTCTGCAACGGTCATCATTAGATTAGCAAAGTGCATATGCGTGGCGAAGCGCATACATGTAATGACTACTGTCTGTTCTGCAATAATTATCATTAGGATCGAAAAGCGTATGCAATCACACAAAGGCCCAGTAGGGGCCCCTATTATATTTTAAAATAAAGCCCATTGTGATACCATTATAAATCAGAACCAAGGTATGAAACTGTTTATAAATGCCATTAAAATCTAGCTGACAAAGATTGTCACGGCCAATCAGAATTACACAACACATCGGGATACCATTAGAATTGATAAAGTGAGGGGCGTCCCGAGGTACTGTAGTGTCTGTTTTATATCTGTTCGTGTTAAAGTCATGAGAATATGTGACCTAATCATATTAAACAGAGAAAACAGGCATATGGTTGTCAAACAGAAAAATGTACATGGTCATCAGCGGATGAGCAAGAATGCCCACCATTAAGCTAGCAAGCTTGTTCGTCAGTAATTTCATTAGGTTGCCAAGCCAACGAAGACCCAAACTCGCATACATCGAGTTGCTATGCCGACGAGGATGCAGTTATATCTAGAACCCACATGCAATCACACAAAGGCCCGATAGGGGCCTCAATTATATTTTAAGAATAAAGCCAGCGCGATACTGATGTGTCGACCCGGAGCCCGATCCAGGCCTCTCCCCGGGGGTCTGGGGCGCGCCGAGGCGTTCCGCCTCTCTCCCGGGTGCCGGCCGTGGGATCAGGTGGGTCGACACACGAAGAATCGCTTCTCTGTTGAACCGCAGACCAGGGGACGCACCAGTTGTTTCTTTGAGCTTGAAGCCGAGATCGTTTGAGAGTCAAACACAAATTGAGTCCAGAGGCCGAAGTGCAGGCTGGTCACAAACGAGTTTTATTCAGGTAAAACCCGGAGAGGTACAGATGTGCACATCAGGAGAACTCTGAAATCCCTCGGGATTGAACATAGTTTATATGGCATTGCGAGAGGCCATCCCCTCAACTGCCATTGGCCAGTCGTTTTCGGTTATTTATCAATTTTATTGGTATCACAATGCGTTGTGTAATTCTGATTGGCTAGGGCTTTCGCTATTATCTAATTTATAATGGTATCTATAAAATGCTCTATGTCTTGGTTCTGGGTTTTAATGGTGTCACAATATCTTTATACTTAAAAATAAAATGGAGGCCCCTACCGGGCCTCTATGTGATTGCATGCGGGTTCCGACAGTGTCATTCACGTGTCCACGTTTAGTATCCACGTTTAGCATGTGTCCTTTTTCCAACCTTTACCATTTCTGCTTAATCTCACAAGTCCCTAACTCGGCTGCTGACCTTTATGTCTAATAAACATCATGTCATTTTCCCGGCCGCAGTCCTGCATGTTTAATAAACTTGTCCTGTATGTTTAACAAACTTTTATGTCTTTCCCCACGTATGCAACTGTTTGTTTAACAAACTTTATGTCTTTTCTCCATGTATGCAACTGTTTGACAACCATATGCCCTTTTCTCCAACTAGCTACGTTTGCCCATATTGAGCCCAAAGTCTATTCAATACTTCGTATAAAACAGATACTACAATACCATTATAACTCAGAATCATGAGATAAGGTTGCTCATAGATACCATTCAAATTTGGCTGACGAGAAGGCCGCAACCAATCAGAATAACACAACGCATTTAGATACAATTAGAATTGACAAATGACCGTCGCAACTAGCCAATGAAATGGGAGGGGTTGGCCCCTCATAACGCTATAAAACCCGTGTTTAATCTCAAAGGAATTTCAGAGTTTTCCGATGTGCACATCTGTACCTCTCCGGATTTGATTGAATAAACTCGTTTGTGACCAGCCTGCAACTTGGACTCTTGACTTAGTTTGTACTTAGTTTTTGACCGACTCCGGCCTCGAACTCAGAGAAACTTCTGTGTCGGCCGTTGGCCCTCCGCGGATCCCCGGGAGAAGGCGAGACGCCGCCGCGCGCCCCTTGTCTCCGGGAGGAGGTGTGAGCCGGACTTAGGGCCGACACTTCAGTACCAGCCAATGAAATGAAATAAAAGGCGTTGGCCCCACAAAACTCTATAAAAGCTGTGTTTTGTCCCTGGAGAGTTCAGAGCTCTGATGTGCACATCTGTACCTCTCCGGGTTTTAATTGAATAAAACTCGCTTGTGACCAGCCTGCTACTTGGACTCTTGACTAAGTTTTGTACTTAGTTTCTGATCAACTCCGGCCTTGAACTCAGAGACATCTGGTGCGTCCCTTGGTCTGTGGCTCAACGAAGGAACATCAGTGTCGGCCCTCCTGCCCGCCGCCCACCCCCGGGAGAAGGCGAGACGCCTCTGCGCGCCCCTTGACTGCGGGAGGAGGCGTGGGTCCGCCTAGGGGCCGACACTACAGCGTTCCGTGCTAACTTGTAATTTCTTCAACTCCAGACCGTGAAAGAAACTGACTGACTTGTCTTGTTTTTTTTTTTTTTTTTTTTTTTTTTTTTTTGTGATTTCCTTTTTGAATTTGAAGGAAGCCAAATGAACTAGCATTGAGTAAATTGTGGCAAGGGTATTATTGTGGGCTTTACATCCCGCCCTAATCCTGATGTCAGTGTAACCTACACCGGAGGCCACGTTCTCACTCCCACGTCATAATAAATATCCACATTATCTCTTGTTTTTACAGCCCACTCCTCGCAGCTGGCCAGGCCTTGAGTCCAGATCTGAACAGCATGCAGCACGGAACACAAAGAAGTACAGTTCTCCAAATGATCATAAATGTGCGGAAACCCCCTTTTATCGCTGACTTATCACCCGGTGTTTCTTTGCAGGCCTGTCCAGTGAGCTGTTTGATTCACTGAAGGTGTACCTGAACAACAGCCAACGATTGCAGCCCATAATTGGTACAAACAAACATCCTTGATTGTTTAGCTTTGAATCATATGATAACGGGGTTGATTTACTGTCACGTCCCTGCAGGTCTGCGCAGCATCACGGAATGCGTGAAAGCAGGCTTGCGTGGGGGTGGCGAAGCCGTGTACCTCTGCGAGGTGTGCACGTCTCGCTTGAGCAAAGGTGACATCCGCAACCACATCATGGGCAGCCTCCATCGATATAATTACACCGTGAGTAGCCCGGCCCACCGGCCCGCTTTTCACAGTGCCGGCTTCCTTGTGTGAAAGGCAGAAATGCGAAGGCGAAAGGTACAAGTCGGTGGCCGTGTCCACAAATCGGTGCCTCGGAGTTGTATAAGTTTCAGGATTTGCTGTTTCACACAGAACCGAGTAGGGTGTTAGATTCCTGTGACTGTGTGTACTTTCACAAAGAGAAGCAGCGTCAAAGTTGTCTGAGAACGTCTTTTTACCAAAACAAGGTGGGAGAAGCGACTATTAAGGTGAAAGTTCAGGTTTTGCCAGCTGCCTTTCACAACTGCGACGGTGGATTAAAAAAAAAATTGCGCGGTTGATTTTGTCTCCACACGCTCACATTCCGCGTCAAGTCCTTCCCCCACATTTTAAGTTGGTCCCTTTCACACACAATAGATTTAAAAATTACTGTTCATAATTCCCTCTCCAATCAAAAATCGTAATCCTAAACTACTAACTAGCGACTCTGCGAGTCGCTAGTTAGCATAACATGTATGGTGCTTTGGTGTTTACTGGACAGAAATTCTGGTACCCCCACCTGCTGTCGAACGTGAAGCAGAGTGGCACTGACATGTCTCTGCTGGCCCGGCCTCTGATGGACATCGCCAGGGCGCTGGAGGACAAGGAGGGACCCGGGGACATCAAGGTCTCTTTCACGACAAAAACTTTAACATTACCATCGGCGGCTAAAGGGAGAAGTCATTTGCTTCCAACATGCTCCAAACTAATTCTGGTGCTCAAACAAAGACTAGACAGATTAGAGATTTGATGAGATTGTTTTTTTTTTTTTTCGCCTGTTAGCCATTAGCATGTCTGATAGCAATATGTTTTCTTGTTAGCCTGTTAACTTGGGTGCTAGCAATAAATTCCACGTTTTAACCATTTTCTGTTCTTTTTGGGTTGCGCAGCAATTGCTCGTGCTTCTTCCCCGCTTCCATTCTTGTTAGCATGCAGCACGTCGTTTAGGTAGGCTGTTAGCTTAGCTGTTAGCAGTAAGTGACAATTTTCCCAGCATTTTAGTTATTTATGCGGCCCAATTTGCATGTCACTCACCGGTGCTGCTTCTTTGCTACATTTTTGTTAGCCTTTAGCATGTATGACAGCAACACCATGTCTTGTTAATTTAGCTGTCATACCACTTTTTGTGCCATTTTGTATTTATGGGTCACTTGACCTTCTTCCTTTTTACATTTTTATGACAAATAAGACGAGGGCGCCATTGACATCATTTATATAACCGTCGCATGGTTTGTTTTTGTGTCCCCAAAAAAAAGTTGCTGGAAGTTGAGGATGCTGCCTTCGAGATGCTAAAAGCCACCAGTGATAGCGAGGGTAATTTCCCAGCTCTTGAATCCATCACTTCATCTTGTTGTTGCATATTAAATGACTATATTCTTTTTTTTTTTAAGCGATAAACTTGAGTAGGTTCCTCATGTATGGAGCCGCCGAGCCAGAAAGCCCGTCGAACAACAGGCTTGATGGTGGAGAAGAGGAAGATTACAAGGAAGAGGAACACAGGGTGGTCAAGATTGTCCACATGGAGGCCCAGCTCGCAGATGGTGATGGTTCTTCCTGGGCCGGGGAACTCACTCCGAGCTTTGGCCACACCTTGCGCGATCGGTACAAGGGAACGAAACCTCTCATTGGTCAGTTCTAGGCACTGTTTCTGTAGCATCATCACAGGCGACCATTTTGTAATGAATGTTGTTTGGCAAAGCAAGCATTTTGAGACCTGTTTTCTGTTGTCTTGATTGAAATGAAGAAACCAAACTATAAGACCAAATTGTCTTTTAAACCGTATATTTTTTTCCCAATAATAGAATTCCATTATCTTAAAAAAAAAATTATAAGTGCCGCTGACACGTTTTCATCCCCTTTGGCCTCTCAGGTCTTTTCAGGGTAACTGAGTGCGTTTGCGAGGAGGACGCTCGCACTTATTGCTTCCTGTGCCACTGCTGCCGGGCTCGGGTCAACACGCGGGCTTTCATCCACCACGTCAGCAGCTCGAGCCATGTGCGCAGCTACCTGGTCAGCATTTATCCATGAGCGTGGGTGACAGGGAGAGAGAATGTGAAACTGGAATTTCAACCTGCGACTCTTGTGTTAGATGGAAACGCGGCGCGAGCTGGTGGTGGCCGCGGGACCAAACGCCCGCAACCACAGTCAGCTGATGGACTCGCTGGCTAAGAAGGTTGAGCGCGAGGACGGACGAGGAAACATGGAAGTGAGACGTGTGCACTTTTGAAACTTTCTTCTTTTGCTGCTTCGATTGACGGCTGTGTTTAAAACGTGTTGTGTTTCTAGGTGGTCAAAGCACCCCAATTCCTCTGTGGACAACTTGCTAGCAAAAGTTACAAGTGGTGTAAGTACCTTATGGGGCAAGAACGAACAGAGCAAAAAGCATCCGCCATCGCTGAGAGCCAAGTCGAAAAAAAAACTTGTGACCATGGCACATCTTTGGAAATTCGACCGTTCCAAGCTACTTGTGACAGATCAAAGTGTTTGACACATGAAATCTCCTCCCAAAAGAGAGAAAAGATGACAGAGATTTTACATTTCGAAGTAGAAGCGATGACATAAGCTCCACGCATGGCACGCACACACTACTAAATACTACAACTACAAATTGTTCCATTGGTGACTCTGTAAATGATTTACGCCATCAAAAGCACATTTTCATGATTGTTGTTTGTATTTTAGAGAATAGGACCTTTCAGGTGTTTGGCACCACTTAAGCAGAAATTATTTGCATCACAGTTGTGCACAAAACACCAGTATACCTTTTCCCTAAAAATCAGTTTTGGTGTTTTTCACCCTTTATTTCACCATCTTTTCTGTGGTTACTTTTCAGGCATCGGCAGGCTTTGGAAGAGCAGCCACCCAACTGTCCACAAGGGGAAAAAAGCCAAGAAGCGTACCTTTTACCGCTATTATCCCAGTGGTAACTCTTCATTGCGTGTGGTTGTTGTGTTTTGTGTTTGTTTGTTTGTTTTCATCTTTTCATCCCAGCAGAAGGCCCCAGAGTCAAGAAACAGGACGGCGGTGTCCCAGGCAAAAGTCGGGTGGTGTTCAATGTAAGCCTTCCACTCACTGAAGGTTCGATGCTGCTGGAGAGGACACCCTTCAGCCAAGAAAGTCCACCTCTTGACCCCCTGGAATCAGACTTGGACTCTGAGCCCACCAACCTAGCCGAGGAAGACTTAAGCGTTGCTCACTATTTTCATCCGGCCAGAAACCACCGAGGCGAGGATTCAGTTCCTGCCTCTCCCAACGAGTGGCAAACCGAGGTGCCCGTCGCTCGAGAGTGGTTCAATTCCGCCTCTGCAGAGTGGTGCGATTGGTCGCCGACTCCAGTTGAAAAGCACGAAAATACACGCCAGGCCCAACCGCCGCCAGTCGCTACGCATATGGCAGGTTGTCACGTGCCGCAAACGGAATTCCAAACCAATGCCGTGATTCAGACACAATCTTGGACATTACCGCATCAGGCGGGTCCAGGCGACTTCCCGGAGTACCAAGACTACGGCGCCCCTCCCGGGTTGCACCTCCCATCCCTATTTGATCCTGCCTCTGTCCCATCCCACTACAGCGGTCGTGCCTGGAGCAAGCTGACTGTCCAAAAATGATCAAGTATGCAACATGCCAAAGAGAGTCCGCACATTTTTTTTTTTTTTTTTGCATTGATGTTGACATAAAGGCTGTTTTTTTGTTTGTTTGTTTTTCTGAATCACCTGTAGAGTAAAATCAGTATACACTGGTTTCAAAAGAAATTTTTTTTTTTTTTATATCAACTGGAGTTTTTCCAGCTCACAAGGGTGAAAAAAAATAATGAGCAATTTATAATAAACGAACATTTTCTTCAACCGCGTGTTTGTTTTATCTCTCAGTTCATCGAAATTGCCGTCTGGTTTATCTGTCAAAAGCTCTGGAGTTCAAGAAGTTGGACAAAGTGATCTGGGCTGCTTCTCTGGGACTCGCAACAACAAAATCAAGAAGATGGACCGTGGTGTCGGCTGCAGCCTTCACATTTGTGTTTTTCTAACGTGTCCCAATCGGAGTCTGTGTGGGGGTCCATCTGGTCTTCGTCCAATCTCACTCTTTCAGCACCTCTGGTGACAGCAGATTGGTTGACGGGGTTTTTTTGGGCTATTCTGGTCTTAACCATTAGATCAAGATGTTCCCTTCATCAGCACTTTTCCAGAACCCTGATTCGTCTCCGGCATACCGCCCGAGCTTGCCCTCTGATTCCTCCTCCTGGCTCACCTCCACAAAAGGTTTGAATGCGTTTTAGGCTGGTCCTGGAATTTCACCCGAAAGCTAATAAGTTGTTGCTGCACTTGAATAAATAAAACACAAAATAACAAGAAAGCATTTAATGTGAAGTCAAAGGCTGAATTTAATGTGTAAACAAAAATGTAAACACAGGTACAAAAACGGTCACATCCATCCACATGCGTGATAAAAATATAAAGTGCTTTTTTTTTTTGTTTTGCTAAAAAAAAAAAAAAAAGTTCAGAAAAAAAAGCGGTGTGGATCATAAGTAGGGATCGGGTTGTATGATTGGTTAAAGGGGGTGACTGCGTAAGTGGGGAATGGGGGTCCGGTGCAGAACGGTTTGCTTGTTTTGTGGTGGGCGGCGCCTCCTGCTGGACATGACACAAAACTATGGTAGTGCCCGGACAGGAGACTTTCCTCATCCCCGCTGATGCGGCGCTTCTGGTCCAGTGGCGTGGAATGATAAAGACGAGGGTAGTCGCTCTGTACGGGGACGTTGACGAGCGGCGAGGTTCTGGCGGGGGCCGGGCTGTCCCGTTTCAGCAGGGACTCGATGGAGAAAGGCCCGCTGAACTTGACCTCGCAGCTTATCTGGACAGATGGCGGCGGAGGCGGCGGCGGTGGTAACGGCAGCGGTGGTGCTGCGCTCCACGTGCCGTCCTTACTCCGGCCGCTCAGCTCAGGGAAGAAATCCAAGAGATCCTGAAAGTGACGGCGCACCATTTTGGTGGTGATGTGACTCAGGTCCAGCTTCCAGAAGTTACGCTTGCTGCCCAGGCAGTCGGGAACCAAAGGAATCTGGAAGTGGGAGGAGGGGGTGTAGGTTCATTACATTTTGGTTCCATATCGGGACTTATTTTTATTCCGGTGATTCTCACAATGTGGTCCAAGAGTCACTGCCCAAGTGCAGTTCAGTTACATTTAACTTTAAAGTTCAATACCTTTGCATTTAGTCTTTAAAATTGGTTCACTTTTAAACATTTGAGTGCTGTTTGTATTGAACTTTTTTTGTATTTTAATCCAATGACAATGATTATTTGCATTGAAAAAATGAATTTATGAATGTTTTTTTTTCTGTTCTTGCCCTTCCTCACACTTTCCTTCTGATTGGAGATTTAAGATAGCTGTGTGCGGGCATGTTTTAAAAAAAAAAATTTAACGGTTGGTACAGTTGGTCAACCACTGAACCACTCAGAAAATATGAATTAACTTCTTTCTTTTGAACCACAAATATTTTGTTTCTGTCAATAAAATACAAAACATTTTGTTGAAATCATCACTGCTAATTATTTTGTGTGTTCCAAAGTGTCATGATTCTGTTTGGGACCAACAGGTGGCACTGTAGGGCTCTCCCTGCAGCTGCACACCTGTTGCTCATTCTGTAATTAGTGCTTTAAAAGGACTCCCTCCCCGATCGCTCATTGTCGGGTCATTGTTTGCTTCTTTGCTGCTGTCAGGTTTGTTTCAGTCATGTTTTGGTCACAGTTATGTTTTAGCCACAGTCATGATTTTTGTTTGATACTTTGGACTTTATTTGTTTTGGATTTAGTTTTCTCTGTGTTTTAATACAATTGGTCAAGTACACCCTGCTCCTCCCCCGTGCCTGCTTTTTGGGGCCCACCACCACCTCGCAAACGTGACGCAAAGCTCCACCTTGAATGGTTCTGACGACTTTTTTTTTTCCATTCATGCAAATTTTTTTTTTTCCCTTGAGGTTTCCTTTAGAATAAGATTGTTTTGCCCCACAATGGGGAAATTTGCTAAAATAAAACATTTCAATAAACAATTAAGTCAATCGTATTAAAAATGATAGAGCACATTATTTTAGATATTTTGAATACACAGTTTCACATAATTTCCCATGGACTGCCTTGTTTATTTGATTAAAAAAAAAAAGATTAACCCTTTCAGGGACAGCGGTCGTTTCACATAATTTCCCATTGTTTTTTTCATCATAATTTGCCTTGTTTATTTGATTAAAAAAAAAAAAGATTAACCCTTTCAGGGACAGCGGTTACTACAGTGGACAGCTTATCATGTTATCAGGTTACAGGGTGCATGAAAGGATTAAATGTGATCCTGGTGCACAAAAGTTGCCGAGTCCTTATTTGCTCTCTATTTTTTTTGTTTTGTTTATCCCCCCCCTTTTTTTTTTTTTTTTACTTTAAGACCATCTTACCTTGACAAAGCACTTGTTGGTGGACAAACATACTCTGATATTGTTCTCGATGGACTTCCTGTCCTCTCGGGCCAGCGGGCCCATCCTGTCCATCAGCTACAAAACATCAAGGTACAGTAAGAAACTACATTTCTTATGCCATGTGGAGCTTATTTTATGTGTGTGTAAACCCCCCCCCCCCCCCCCCCCCCCCCCCCCCCACGAATGTGAGCATTTTATCCGGGGCGTCCTGGAGGATGATGGCGATCCGGGCCAGATAGGTGGTGCTGCTCCGGAGGACTTTGTGGCGCATGCCGCCAAGGCCGGCTGGAAGCTGAGCTCGGAACTTGTTGCTGGAGGTGGACATGATACGTGCTGGGAACGCAGCTTTGTCGGTCAAATCAGGTATGAAGGGCTCAAAAGTTGGGCTTCGCTCTTTAAGGCCCGTCCAGACAATAGAGGGGGTGTGTACCCAGCTGCTAATGCGGAGCTTTTGATACTCGGATGGATGGATCGTTAGCAGAGGTGGAGTTTTGGTCTGCGTGGACACTTCAGGAGTTCGACTTAAAAAAAGGGGGGTGGGAGGATCTCCATTTCGTATTTACTTTTTTTCCGTTAACTATAACAACTTTGGTCCAATAACAGATAACACAACCTAATAGTTAATAGTAGTGCTCAATATTGAGGGTAAACAATTTGCGACACTGTGCTTGTAGTTTTGGACTCGTCGACAGAAATATTAATCAGCATTATTGCAACAAGCAACCCCTTGCTTTGAAATTATTTACTTTTATGAAGTCACGAGTATGTGTGGTGCTTACGTCAAAGCTGTTACTCACTGGTTCAATTTATTTGAGAGCATGTTATCATTTTAGTCAGTTTATTTTGCTCAATAAAAAATGGCAACTTAACCCCCCCCAAAAAAAAAGACAAAACAAAAGAAAAATACCAAAACCAAAATAAATGACCTTATCACCTCTCAATGGTTACTTTCCACCTGTGGTCACAACATTAGGTCCACCACGTTTGATTGACAAGATAATAAAGTTATACGAGGGTAGTTTTATTTATTTTTATGTTTAAGTTATTGTCATTTTCGCAATTTTAACCTTTGAAAATAAATGTACAAAAAAATGAGGGGTAAGAGAAATAAGGAACCAAAATGAAGAAAACACAACTGCAAAATATCCCCTTGCGGATTTTTGATTACTATTATTATTATTTGTGAAAGTAACAAATGCTTACTTTGACTTCATTATTTCACCAGCGGACACACTAAATGTTTTTTTCACTCATTGGTACTTTTACATACTCACCTGTGTGTGTCTATCTGTGTCACCAGCCGAAGCGTCCATTTTGTTTATGCGAGGTTCCCTCCCAGAAGAGAACAGTTGGCATTTGGACGAGCAATCTCAACCTTTTGTCGTCCGATGTGCTGCATTTGCATCACTGATCCCTACTCAGCTTTGAGTGCACTGTGCGCAAACAACACAAAAACACGTTAGGTCATCCAAGGCGCTGCTTTCACTTGCTAAGTAGCATATGAAGGTCAATGGACACAGATGCAAGTGATCGGTCAATACTGGAGACGAGGGGAAATGTGGTATTTGGAAGTGTCAGTGTCATCCCCCCTTCAAAAAAAGAATGTTGTACATTTTGTGGATTTTAATTAAAAAAAAAACACCACTTTTTTGTTGGACAGCAACAATATATTTTTATCCAAGATGAGTGCTTTTTGTGTTTTGTTTAGTAAAATAAAGCTTTTCATATTTATTGTATAGTTTATATGAAATAGTAATGTTGTATTAATAAATATTGGGGAAAAGCACATAATCTGTTTTTGAAGTAGTTTGGTAAAACAGGATTTTGAGGTGGAATAAAATCTGATAAAAATGTATGATTTAAAAAAAATAATTCTGAACGTTTGGAACAGTTTGAAGACCTATACTCTAATGTAAAAGAAGAAATTTATCTTTTATGTAGCGTATATCAGTATATGGCAAATAAAAAGACTCGAGTTGCATTTTCGCCTAATACTATTTCCACATATTTTTATTGTATGACAACTATAAGATATAATGATGACATTTTCCTTTTGAAGATTTTTACCAGTTTATTTAAAACTACACTGTGATGTTGAGACTGCGCCGAGTCACATTTCCACTAACTTGTGTGCCTTGCAATACAATTGAATATTCAAAAGCTGACATAAAAGAGTTCTTTTTACCTTTGTGAATGCAGCACAGATGAGGTGCAAATCACAAGAATGCAACTGAAGGAAGACCTTTCTTAAGATGTTTGCTGTGAATGGAGTACTTATCGCCACATTTGCTGCTGCCTTTGTTTGCCATAATGGGATTCTTTTCTCTGATGACCTGATGAAAAGGTGGACCGCCAGACAGCCTTTTACACTCTAAACACAAGAAAAATGTACTGTATCAGACTTTTAATCCAGACTAAATAGCTACACTTTCAGTACAACCACTTTCAAGGTGACTCATAGTAACTCGTTTGACTAAATGGTGGACTAAATGCGAGTTTTATAGCTAAATTTGGATGAATATAGATGATATATAAATATGAAATAGAAAATGACTCATAAAACCTTGCTCGTGGCTCACCTCTACGCATGCGCGCGAGTGAGTTCGGCATCCGTGACCAAGAGGTTTTTTTTTTTATAAACATATAGTCCAGCACGTATATCGCGGAAACGCTATCTTAAAAATCACCGATTTTTAACAAGAAAAAAAAAACGCGTTAATGGATCGTAAACAGAAGCTGCGGAGACTCATTTCTACGCATGCGCTTAAATGCGAAGTCGTCATCAATCACCGCCAGGTAGTCAAACAAACGCACATAAGTACGATTTGAGGTGCTTTTCGAGGAGGTAATGTCTTAATTTAATGGGTTTTCTTTATAACCGTGCAATATTATATAGTAGTATTATATTGCTACTTTTATATTCTTATGGTATTCAACTTCTGTTAAAACCGCCGAAGTCACATCCCCAACATGTTTGACCCATTCCGACCAGTAGAGGTCAGGCTTGTATAAAATGATATCACAGTCCCGTTCTACAGTTATGTCATTTTTAAAATGTTGCCCATTATTTATTGCTTATAAGACCCATTTGGGAACGGCAATAAATATGACTTTTTCAGGATTTTATGAATGATGTGGATTTATTTACCAATGTGTTTATTGTGTTGTGTACATGTGTTAAACAAGTGATCTGACCTGCAGGTTGTGGAAATCCACCTGCCTGTCTTCCCTGCCACCTCTTGATGAATGACCCGGACCCCACCCTGCCACATTAAGTGTACCGGCTATCTTCTCAGACTCCACCCGTGAAGCACCAGGAGAAAAGGCATTCCCAGGTAAGTGGAGATATGATCATCTTATTTAGGAGCGGGGTAGCGTGGAGCAGGTCTTCCTGAAAGAACAGAATTGTAAATATCGATCCTCCAAATGAAGTGTCAATCTCTTTAGGTCAGATTATTCCTTTGTCCAAGAATGGGATTTAAAAAAAAAAAACTGCAGGTGCTGTTAATTTTGGAACTGCCACTTGATTCCTGCAGATAACCAACATCATTAAAAAAATTAATGGATTAAAATAAATACAGCGAAATAGACAAAATAAAATGTTATCATCATAGATGTAATATAACAAAACCAACAAATATACTCAAATAAAATACATGAAATCTTACATTAAACACTGATTGAAATGCACTTATTTTAATCATACAAACGAATTGCTAACTGATAATTAATTTGCTCAGGATCATGTCAAGTAATGCTGACTGGCATGCTGATTTATATTTAAACCGTCAGTAGGGGGCAGTATTTTCTCATCCAAATCCTGCTCTCGTTATTTTGAAGTGTAGCTGTCAGTCAGGTGTGTGTGTGTGTGTGTGTGTGTGTGTGTGTGTGTGTGCGTGTGTGTGTGTGCGTGTGTGTGTGTGTGTGTGTGTGTGTGTGTGTGTGTGTGCGTGCGTGTGTGTGTGTGTGTGTGTGTGTGTGTGTGAGAGAGAGAGGGAGAGGGTGACACAAGCCCCACAGCTTTGATTAGGATGACTCCCCTCTTTAGTAAAACTAATGGCACTACATTTCATCATTTGTCCGCATTGGTCGTGTTGACTTTTAACGGCAGGCGGTGAATTATTTGACTCCTCGTCATCTCAACAAATCCACTAATCAGCCCAATCAGCATTTCCAGTGCACTTAATTGATTGAATGGGCCTCAATTAGACAAATGAGAGAGAGAGCGGGCGCTCTCAAAAGTGTGAAACACAAGGACGACAACCGCTTCAGGCACTTTTTTACTCTCCTTTAATTGCCATTTACACTGTGGGGGCTTATCACCATTTGTTTTATTTAGTTAGTCGGGACTAATGCTAATGTCCTAACACTCAACGTAACAACAAAGTTGACAGTTAAATGTCTTGTAATGTCATTGTTGTACATCAGGGATAGTTTGGGATCTTTCATCATGGATAGTTTTTATTACGTTTTGATTTTTGTTTTGAACCCTTTAAGGGACAGTGGTCACTTCAGTGGACAGGTCAGCATGTTATCAGGTTACATTGTGCATGAAAGGGTTCAATTCAGTTTGTGTTAATGAGTTTTGAGAGCAAGTTTCTTTCTAAAAATGCTTCGTTTTTGTCTCATTTTTAATAGTTGTAATTTTTTTTAACATACCATGTAGAAAAAAAAATGTCTATATGGTTTCACACTATTTTGGAATTGTCAACGCCAATTCATTTGAAATGAACCCCTACAACTCATGTAGGATATTAATTGAAGAAAAAAAAAAGTTTCTTTTGTTTTGTTTATGTTAACTCCAATAATCTTGCTATACATACATAGCACGCAAAGAAGATCGTTGCAACCAAGATGCCATAATATTCGTCATTTTTCCAGAGGATAAAGAATACATGCTTATAATTCAACTTAACTCACTTCTTGAATTAATTCAAATCGATTCCTTTGCCCGAGCATGGCATCATTTAGCGAAGATGTTGCATTTTATATTCTTCGTACATCATTAGCTTTCATGTGGTAAGTAAAAAGTTTTCACTTCACACGTATGTGTGTTGCTTGGGTTTAATCCAGCGGGTTGTGCTTTTGTTTACCCATTTTCACCCTGTTTGATCACCACTTTTCAACTTTGATCACCCCTCTGCCTTTTTATTTTGTCGGCTTTTCCGCAACGACATGTCCGGGCTGTTTGCTAATAATTAGTGGAGATCATCTGGGCTAGCTTGTAACAGCCAGGTTTAAAAAGCCATATTTATTGTTCCATTTACACGTTTTGCGGGATAATCGTTGGTAATTAGAATCGTGTGTGTACGTGTGTGTGCGTGTGTGACACTCACATTTGTGCCTGTCGCCCTCAGGCCATGACAAAGGTCCATTACCTTTGTCTGATCTATTAGTGTGGACTAAAAGCTGCATTTAGATGAAGTGGCCATGCTCTTTTTTTTAATTTTTTTTTTTAACATGGAACATTGGGCGCCTTGCATGGCCACTTTGTGTGTGGGTCAATGCCTTTCAGACGTAGAAATAAAAAAATAAAAATACACATACTGTATATTGTTAACTCCACTTACGAGTAAGACAACTGAGATTTTCAAGATCGTCGCTTGATTGATGTTTGCAGGGGGAAAAAAAATGGGCAGAAGACGCTGAGCGAACTTTATTGTCAAACTAAACATAAAACAAAAACTACATTAACAGTGCCTTACTAAAGTCTCCTCACACAATGCTAACACTCAATGCAAAATGCTATAGACAAGCTAACAAAACGAGCATTGGTGATAAATAAACCTTTTAAAAACCTGTAATTGTGATCAATTCTTGACATTCTGTTTTACTAGTTTGTTACTTTTTTTTTTTTAATAAAGTGCAATGGCACAGAGGGATTTATTATTATTTTTTATTAAAAAAAACACAGAACATTTTGGGAGGGGCGGCTGGAAGCACAAAGAACTGTTGCTGGTGTCTAGTTCCTGCCTAGCCACAAGTGACCAACATCTTTTCTTAATCGTCATCATTATTTCCATATACAGTATTATTCCTCTCTCCCAAAAAAAAAAACGCTTAAAACTAGTAAAAACAATTTCCACAAAATATATCCCCCCGCTCTTTTTTTTAACTTCATAAATTAGCGTGTGCTTGATATCAAAGATACAGAAACTCTATTCATTTACATCAAAGGTGGCTCAGTGTCATTTATGCAAATGAGACGGACCCATAAAAGAAACGTCATTACGAGCTCGTGCAACAGAGATGAAATCAATAGAGGCGGCTTGAAACGCGGCAGAATACATTTATGACGGCGTCATAATCAGCTTCATATTCAATTATTTTCTCATCATTTATGTTTTTTTTTTTTTTTTTGGATGAATCTGAGTAAATGGTAAGGATGAAAGAATAGCGTTTGATATGGAGAGAAGACACTGAGGCCTCATTGCATTTGAAGCGATCACAACCTTACAGTAATTGCAAATGGACACCCGTGTAAATTGGATTGAAATCAAAAGGCGGCGGCAAGAAAAGCCGGTAAACGACAAAAAAAAAAAATTAAAAATAAAAAAGGAGATGGTGGTCAAAGCCGAGGCGTCGGAGAATGATATCCTGCACGGGAAGCAAATCGAACGAGGGCTCGCATTGTCGCGTCTGTCTACGATTGTTACCCAATGGACGGTAATGTTAATATAATAATGACGTTGGATTCATACCATAATGTTCTAATTCTAATGATCATGTAATAGTAATCTAAAATGATATTTTTCAAAACAAAGCTCTCTGCTAGATTTGGTAGGGCGCTGCCCCACCTGCTCCTCATGCAAGGTTTACCAGATGTGATGATCATTTAATCAAAAGATGGATGAAACCCGAGCCTTGTGATTAGTTGTCCAATTTTAGAGGTGCCCACTAATTAAATTTTCACTTTTTTCTTTTTTTTCCGCTGCATTTTGGCCCATTAATTTGACTGTAACCTTTGGCTTAAATGAACGTGTCAGTGACCTGCAGGGAGAGATCATTTGTCTGCTTTAGGACACTTTTAGTAAATGACTTTCCGAAAGAAGAAAAAAAAAGAAGTCAATTTAGGTCGATTATTTTTCATTTGATTTATTATGAAGTATTGAACAGTGACTTGGCATGGATGTCTAAAAAGTTGTGCTTCCTCCAAACAAGAGCTCAGACACTTGACTGCAGCAGCGCCTCCCGCTGACACCTCCGAGTTCCCCGCTGTCAAATCCTCTTTGTTTGGCAGGTCCGAGGGGGCGGCGACGTTTTCCACCAGGACGTCCCGACAAGAGATGAGGTCAGCTATGATGAATTTGATTTGATGTCACGCAAAAAAAAAAAAAAAAGTGCCGGCGATGCTTTTTGAAGGTGACCTCCCCCTCGCTAACCCTCCCTGGCAGAGTTAATTAAAGACGGAGGCGGCTCGGGGTGAAAGTACTGTGGGAATGATCTGATCCTATGGATGATTTTTTTGTGAGTTAATCATTGACTTTGCCTGAAACAACGAACGAATGCGAAATTCACCCTGCTTATTTGCAACCTCGAGTGACAAATCAGTTAGTTCATTTCATACCCACTTGCATGCTCGGCAGAATTGATGGGGTGCAATTATTAGTGACCGATATTATGTCATATGTGAGTGAGATCTTGTCATTGTACGTCACGAGACGTTTCATCATATTTTTTTATGGCCACTTGTTGCTCGTCAGAATTGACGGGGCACGATTATTGTTGCCCCGAAGAGGAACCAAAAAATACACAGCAGTCAGGCGTACGGATATTTTTTTTACATTTTATTCATTTATTTATTTATTTAATGTGATGAGTTGGCACTTGTTGCTAGGCAGAATTGATCGGGCACAATTGTTTGTGACCCCACCCCCAAAAATTGGCATACTGGAATCAGGCATTTAAAAAAAAAAAATTATGTTTCCCAGTTAGGTCATATTTTTGTATGGCCGCTTGTTGCTAGACAGATTTGGATGGGGCACAATAATTTGTGACCCAAAGACAAACTGGGGGAAAAAAAACGTATTCATATGTCAGATTTGTGACTAGGTAGAATTTGTGGCAGGCAATTTGCGGAAGCTTCCCCATATTGGCATTATAAGGCTAATTTGCCCACAACTCAACCTGAAAATTATTTTGAATGAGCAAACTTTCATGATTTATGACTCCCTCTGTCGTACCTGAAGGGGCACTGCCCCAATTTCCGCTAAATGCTAGTTGTTCAGACCCAAGTCGTCGCGCCAAGCAAGTCATAAGCAAAAGTGCTTGTGCATTCTTATCTTCAGTGGTGAGTCTCTCTTAGCCACCGCTAATTGCTAACTCTAGTCCCCCCCCCCCCTCCCGCCTCCCGCACCCCCCTCCAGCGTGTTTTGGCAGCGCGTCGGCGAGCTTTTTTGGCCGCCCTTCCATGTTTTCCACCGTTGTTTCCTGGAGTCCTGAATGGGATGGGTCGTTTGCGAAATGACAGGACACGCCAACAAATTGCATCACTTCTGGCTCAGCAGCTGAGGACAATGGCCAGCCATATGCCACTTGGAGAAGGGCGGGGGCGAGTGAAAGAATGGTTCTCATTTCAATGCGCTGGCTTCCAAAGCCAGATAGCCCCGCCACCAACCTCTCACCTCCCTGACTCGGACCCCACGGTTACAGCATCGGGTACCTGGGGTGGCCATCTTGGCCCCTGGCGTGACGCAGACATATGAGCAGACGTGTCACCGATTTGCGCGAACTAAAACAATTCATTTCAAGAAGATTACCCAAGCGCACATCGAAATTTGAAATCATGTTTCTCACATTTGGTTAATTAGTCAGCAGAGTCGAAGAAAGATCTGCCGGCCGAGCGACTCCAGAGTTGCAATCAACGTGGGCAGCACGTCGCGCATTTCTGTCATTAGCTAATTGTCTAAATTTATCGTTAGCCTAATAGCATGATAGGCCAAGTCAGTTTTCAACCTTTTCAGAAATAACACACTTTTTCCTTCGAGCCTCTTTCGTGGAGGAAATCAAGGACTCGATAGTAGTGAATTTCTTGAGTTTTGATGAAAAGAAAATAGAAGCTATGGTGTTTGGTCCCAGTGGCCATTATCAATCCCACTATGTTAACGTGAACCTCCTAGCACGTTATCGAAAGCCGATAGTCTTGAACTTGGGGTTTAAATTGGACAGCACTTTATTTTGGAGTCAGCCAGTCCCCCCTCAAGCATCTCCAGTTGGTCCAAAATGCTGCAGTTCGCCTCCTAACTGGAGCTCGTAGGAGGGAGCACATAATCCACATTCTGGCTTCCCTTCATTTTCTTTCAGAGATTTTTATTTATTTATTTTTTAATGGACTTGGCCCATCTTACCCCTTTGAGCAGAATTTAAATATTCTGAATACGGTACATTTTGAGGTCCTATCTGATTGGATGGCTTTTTTTTTCCTTCCCTTATTCGCCATTGATTTGACAGCGAGTGAGGGAAAGAGTTCATTTGTAAATGTAAATGAAGTGAGTGTCGTATTTAAATTGTGAGAACATGAAATAATTAAGCATGCAGATGTATTTCCTCAATCTTGCATCATCTTTTTTGCTCCCCCCCTCCCCACTTTGTAGGAGAGAAAGTTTGAGGGGGGGGGCTTGTGGATGATTAGCTTCTTTTTGTCCTGTGTTTTTTTTTTCTCGCTGAGAAGATTAAATATTTCTGCTTGAGAAAGTCTTTTTAGGTTGCCACTGACTGCTGTCCTGCTGCACTCTCACCCATCCCCCCTCCCCAGTCAC